GTCCCACCAGCCCGTGCGTGAGGATCTGGGTTGGGCAAATTCTATAGGCAAGCCATCGCTCTCCAGAGGGCTGAGCCAAAAGAGCAGCAGCTCCTGTGACATACGTCATGACACTGGATCCTGCCAACCAAGTCAGAGGCATCGCCATCATCGTCGGCAGCCCCATCTTAGAGAGGCTCAGGGAAGGTAAGTAACTTGCCAACGCTCACGCTTTCTGCCCCTTGATCCTCTCCACTACCCCGCAGGCTGTGGCGATGCGACCATTTTATAGACCAGGACACCCAGACTCTGAGAGAAGCAGGGACGGACGGCCCCCGTAGGCTCGCCGCTTGCCCGTGGCTAAACTGGGAAATTACAAGGCTCGGCGGCTGCCATCGTGCAGACTGCTAACTAAACACCGCCGGCCTGCACTCTCCTGTGTGTTTGGGATGACGCTTTACTGGTCTGCAAACCAAAAGACCCTTCCTCCAGGTCCGTAGCAGTAGGTAGGAGTAGGTCATGCCGTTAAATAGAGATGACAGGATGATTTCAATCATCTTAAGCAAAAGTCACACCACAGTGAGACTTTGGGCTAGCCTGGCCCCCCTGACCTGTGTTGTGCCCTCATCTGGAAAATGGGAAAAGCAGTGTCCTCCCAGGACCTGTCAAGGTTCCAGCTGCAAAGGCCCCCAGGGCTGCAGGCCAGCGTGGCGCTCACCTGGTGCAGGTTTCTGCAGCCCAGCTTTCCGCCATGCTAAATAATTCAAAGCCATGTTTTCATTTCCAGATAAACACAGCCCTGTCGCCAAAAGGAATGCCAAATTTGCATGAATGTTTAAGATAAAATGAGACTTCAAAGAAATGCCAGGCCTGCCTCTGGCGCTGTCTCCCTCCTCAAATACCGGAGAGAACAAGTTCTCTGTATCCTGCCCCCAGGGGCAAATATCTTTAGGTGTTCAAATAAGAAACATAATTTCTTGATTCTATCCTCTAGAGCAGCTGCACAGAGCAGGTCTGCAGTAAATTCTTGCTGCACTGAGATGACCTTGAATAACCCCAGGTCTCACCACATCCAAACTGTGTGATCTTGGGCAAGTCACTTAACCTCTCTGTGCCTCCATTTCACCATCTGTAAAATGGGGTCACATCATAGCACTGACCTCACAGGGTGCTAACGAAGAGTAAACAAGTGGATGCCTGTTGGCTGCTGAACTTTCCTGGCACATAGTGAGTGCTTTTTGCGTGTGTGTTGGCTGTAATTATTACTGCATTAGATACACACGCACAGTATTTTCCAGCTCCTAGACCAAAAGTTAAGGTTGTTTGTAAAGTCTCTTCCTTAGCACCAGGACCCTCAAAGGACGTCAGATGACCTTTTCTGAGCATTGCTTCCCTGGGAACCCCCATTCCCACTTACGGGACAAGGCCTTTTAAGATAACACCAGTGGCCTGGTCTTCCTGAGGCAGCAGCCCAGGCTCAGGCCCCCTCCTGGTCCCCTCCCCTGGGTGCCTGGAGCAGGAATTACCAGCTCCTGCGAGCTCAGCTGTTCCCCTTGCAAGGAGCCCAGTCTCAGAGGTATCACCTGGGGAGGCTGCTGTGAGCTTTGAGGATGAAGAGGAAATAGAGAAGAAGGGATGGGTAGGGACACACGCACACGCGCACACACGCACGCACACACAGGCTCTCGAACCCCTACTGCCAGGGGCAGCAGTGAAGGTGGGGATTTTTGCCTTGGAGAGCTCCTGGGGGGAGGGAGGGTGACAGCCCCGCTCTCCTGCTTCTCACAGACAAGAGCCCCCTCAAGCTGTGTTAGGCGGAGGTGCGGACCCCCCTCCAAAAAAATCTGAGTGAACCACCAACTTCTCCACCCACAGGCCTCAGGTGGGGGGCGGGAACAAACAACCAGGCGCAGCCCCACCTCGCAGTGGGGGTCTGGGGGGACCGGGCCAGCCTCCACATCCAGGCTGAATGGCGAGCCGCTGGGGGCCGGGACTCCTGGGGCGGCTTTCCCACGCGCCAGCCAGCGGGTGAGCGCCGGCCGCCAACCCGCACCCCCTCCGCCGGGAAAACAACCGGCCCCAACGTGGGGCTTTCCAGCATTTGCAGAGCCTGAGAAATCTTCAGGCGCCTCGTATGAGTGTTATTAATTGGAGGAAAAGAGCAGATTATGCCAAATAAATCCTTCCCACGTAGCCAAACCCTGGCCGGAGGAGGGAGGGGGGGTGCGCGCAGACCCACGAGGGGTCTCCATCCCTCACCAGGGCCTGACAGCCACATTACCATTTACATGGATTCATCAATAGTATCGATCCCCCAGCAAGCGTAAATAGCTCAGTGGGAAGAGGCCAGGTCTGGGGGCCGCTCGCTCCCGCCCCCACGTCTGGGTACCGCAGACTCCCGGGGCAACCGGCGGCGGTGGCGGTAAATTTCCGAGCAGGGACATGGCAGCCGGCGCGGGGAAGCCAGACAGCGCCCCGGACGCCCTCGCCGCCGCCTCGCTGCGCAGCGCCCGCTCCAGGGCCCTGCGCGCTCGCTGCGCGGACTCGCTCCGCGCATCCGCTCAATGGGCAGAAGGCATCCCCCGCCCTTCTCCATTCTCAGGGGGAAGAGCCGAGGGGCCGGAAAGAAGGCCCCCTCCCCTCTCCAAAGCCCCCACGCCCCAGGCGAAGTCTCACACGATCACCGGGCCACTGGATTCGAGGCCAAGTTCGAGAACCCAGGAATAACGACAACTGGTCAGGGTCACATCTACAGACACCTTTCCATGTGTTATTACCCTCAGTTCTCACGACAACCCCCTAAACTCGGTACCATTACTACCCCGCTTCGCAGATGAGACACCAGAGGCACTGAGAGGTTAAGGGTTTGTCCGGGGTCACGAGGTCGGTAAAGTGGCGAAAGTAAAACTCGAACCCGGGAAGTGGGGTTGCAGGGCCGGCTATGAATGGCCAGCTACCTCAGCTCGCATCTCTCCCCCCCCAACCCCC